CGGCACGCTGCTGCTCGACCACATCGCGCACACGCGCCCGGGCTACCTGCCGCCGCTCAACGTCAACCCCAACCCGCCCATCCCGGACATCGGCTCCAGCGGCAAAACCGCCTCCCCGCTCACCGCTGGGTTGAAAACCCTCGTCCCCGTCGCTCCCAGCTCGCCCCGGAGAGGGGACTTGAGGTCCAAAAAGAAGCTTCTCCGGAGGCACTCCATGCAAGTGGAGCAGATGAGGCAGCTCTCTGATTTTGAGGAAATAGTGGCTCTGTAGCTAGACAACGGTTTATCTTCCAACTTTACCAAATCGGTGTCCTCTCTGCAGAAATGTAAATGATGGTTGCTGAAAAACCCGCTCGGGGGGGCGCGGGCAGCCCAGGGCCACCTGGACCTGCACACAGGGCCAAGCGGGGAGGCGCTTGTGCCCGGCTTCCAGGCCTGTAAAGAGATCCAGGGAATCACAGGGAATCAGGCCCAAACACTTAACGTAGCCTCTGCTCTTAACTCGTTCCTGGGCTTCCCCCAAGAGCAGCCACCGGAGATCCCTCCTCAGAGCCCCGGAGACGCAGCCAGGCTTCGCGCGCAGGGTCCTGGCTGCACTTCGCGTATCCCCAGTTATTTATGATCCATCTCTGATCCCACTCATTCCGACACAGCCCCGGTCTGGGAGCCCCGTGCCGGGGAGCCGCGGGGATGATGCTTTTGTGAAGTGCCTGTCAGCATGGGAAGCAGCTGGATGCCGTGAGAGGCCGGTGAGCAGGAACAGCCTCCTTAGCCAGCGAATGATTCAGAGCTTCACCAGGCCAAGCAGGGGGGAACAACCTTCCTCCTCGGCGGTACCCGAGCACTTTGAAACCCCCAGCACTGAGTCCGGCCTGTCACTGGTGCAGCCCGCGTCCTGGCTGGGCTGGCAGCTGCAAGGGATTGGCCTCCACGTCTCTAAAGCAGCTCAGATTTGGAGCCAGTCCCCACTGCATGGAGCGACCGCAAGCATGGAGACACCCCGTCTGCTCCCCGTGGCGATAGCGGCGCCGGGGCTGCTCGTGACGGTGCCATCCGCGCTGGCCGCTGCGCCGCGGCGCCGTGTCCGCGGTCCGTCCG